GGGGCCAGGCCAGGCTGCCTCTTGACAGGGAGAGCAGGGAGGGTGGGGAGCTCTGGGCCATCGGCTGGGTCAGATCCTCAGCCAAAGCAAACTTACCTCCGGGGGCTGGGGGGCCATTCCTCCCCCACACAGATGGAATCAAAGGCAAACAGGAACCCTGCAGGGCCCAGCTGTGACCCCTGCCCCCAAACTCAGCAAGGCCCATTAACCCCTCCCCCCATCACTCCTAACACACTTTCACGGCCCAAATAATCCCTTGCAACCACCTCAACTAGTATTTGCTGCCTGAATGCCAGCCAAGAGATGCCAGGTTCCCCAGCCCAAAGAATACCCAGGCCCTGCCCACCGCCACAGTGACTCTGCATAAAATATCAGGGTCATCTTTGCTTAAAAACAAAACAAAACAAAAAAAAAAACATAGGCCTTTCCTCATTTCTGTGCCAAGAGCTAAAGGGTCCAGGCTCATTTCCTAGAACCACACTAATCAAAGTTGATACCTGTACCCCACTAACAGACAGGGCGGGAGCAATTGCCCCCTCATCTCCTCCAGAGTAACTGCAGGCTGCTTCTACTGGCCCCCTGAGCTGGGCCATGAGTTAAGAGTAAGTAGCCCGGAATTTGGGGAGCAGCAGAAGTGAAAAGGGATCTCAAAGGCTTTCTGGTGCTCGTCACTCACACGGAAAGGTCAAGGCTAGCACCGAGCCCGCCCGAGGTCATACAAGTGGTTGGTGGACATGCTAGGACCTGACTTTCAGGCAAGTTCCCACTCTACAGGACCATGACCCTGACCCCAGAAAGGGCAGGTGAGAAACAGACACAGAATACCGTGCATCACCATGCCTGAGAGAGCCGACCTACAAATGTTGTCATTTTTAATCTCCTGAACACCTCCACCTGTGTGTCCACTGGGACCCAGTGTGGATGGACCATTCTGGATTCAAAGAAAGCAAAACGGCAATGGGTCAGAGGCGGACAGACCATGGGGACTGCTTCCCAGAGCTGTCCCCCTCTCTTTCCTGAATTCCATACAGTATGATTTGAATAATCCAAAGAGGACACTAAAAACCGTCTGGGGAAAAGATTAAAGATGGCCGACCTCGGGAGAGCCTGAGGAAGAGAGCTTTTAGGAGCTACACTGAGTACACAGAGAAGAGAGACCAGGAAGAAAACAGAGGAACCGGCATCGAGGAAGAGATGAGAAAAAACCCCACACGGGGTCCAGTGGGGAAACTCAGAAGGCAGCAGGCCTAGGGCAGCTATGGCTGTGACTTGGAGCCCAATATTCCCACTGCCAAGGCCACTGCAATCCGAGGGAACGGGAGCAGAGGACTAGGGAGAAAGGTGGAATGAAAAAAAAAAAAAAAAAAAAAAAAAACAAAAACCGCCTTTTGGGGCACTAATTAAGGCCACCTCGGCCTTCTAGACACCCAACTGATTTTTCACCCCAAGATGGTCTTTCTTTGAAAGCAAAACAGTTCTCACCCACACCCACACCCCCAGAAGGCTCCAGAAGCCTGGCAGCGGTGACAAGACCCGTCAGAATGGAAGAAGAAAAGTGCAGGGAGAGACGAGACAGTCCAGAGGGCTGGCAACGGAGACCAGGCAAGAGGGAGCGGAGCAGAGGAGTGGGGTGAGGGGGCGGGAGGAGGGCGCGTGGGAGGGAGTGATGGAGCCTCTCCCAGCTCTTCCCCCCCTCCCTCTGTCCCTCCCACTCTCTCTTTCATGATCTTGAAACAACCTTCAAGTCTGGGCTGGAGCTCCCAGGAGGCCAGTCACTTAGGAAACAAAACTGTTTCCTTTACAAGTCCATCTGCAGCTGAGCGCCCCCCCCTCCCCCTTGTATACTCACTCTCCCATGGACTCTCACGTACACCCACAGTCCCACACAGCCTTCCCTGTAGCACACGTGCATGCCTGCACACGAACATGTGCACACCACACACTCCTGTGCAGATGGCGAATGTGTGATAGATGGGCCACCCATCCAAGCAAGCAAGCACTGCCCTGCCCTGTCCTGTCCTGGTCAACTCCTCTCTCATAGAGTCTGAGTTGACTTCTAAACCTTGCTGTGTCGTTTAGGGTAACCTTGAACTTCTGATCCTCCTGCCTCTCTCTACCTCCCAAGTACTGTGATGAGAGGCATGTTCTACAAGCCTCGGTTTAGGGAGTATCTTAGGGCTAGATCCCAGGGTTCCACGTTTGCTAGAAAGGGACTCGACCAACTGAGCCACCTGCCCAGACTGAAACTCCTTTGGAAGTAGCACTTGGTACATTCTGACCTACAGAATCCCACAGCGAAGTGTCCCCTTTGGGCATAACTAGCATCCCTGCCACTAGGCTAGCACATGTCCCTAGCTCTCTTTGTTCACTCCCCCTGCATACACATACTTAATTCTCAGACCTCAACACCACTCCTGCCTTCCTACCTCCTGCTTTCCCCTCTTTCTGTCTTCCTCCTTGGTTCCTTTCTTGACTCAAATGAGTCCCCCTGTCTGGCTCCACAGGTGGCCAACCCAGGCACAACAGATCAGAGGGCCGGGGCGTCTACTCCCACCCCGTGCTCTGGAGTCTGGGATAGACTCCCAGCGCCTCCACAGAGGGAGTGGCCGGGGAGGCAGGGGTGAGCAGCAGATGGCAGACGACCTGCCGAGCGTCACTTGTGGCAACCCACGTGTGTGTGAGCAGCCGTGTCCTTGGGGCTGTGGTCACCCTAATGCAGGGCATGGCAGGGAGCCCTAACAGTCTGTGCAAAGCCCAGGAAGGGCACAGCCCTTTCCGTTACTGAGCCTGGCTACAGAGAGCAGGGCCAGGGCGTGGGAAGGACTGGGCAACACCGGAAAGTGCCCGTGGGGGTGGGTAGAGGGGGATGAACACAGGAAGGAGCTCAGAGCCTCGAGCTTCTCTTTTGTCTCACCTTGTATCTTGAAGAAGCTAGGGAGATTACTCGGGGACTCTAGCCCAGTAGTATAGATGCCCCTTAACCCCAAGGGATCACCTATTCACCCCTAAACTCCACTGCCCTTTGGGTAAGTCTTCTGGAGTCTTGTTCACTACGCTTTACAGCTTCAGCGGCTCTCCATGTCCTTGACACACAGGGACTGTGTCCATTTCCTGTCACGGATTTCCCAATCTCATCTATTCCAGACCCAAGTCCAAGGCCTGGAAGGGACCACAGACCATGAGAAAAATCCATGCGTGCTTATCCTGCCCATCCTTCTTCGTGCCTAGGCCCGGGGGAAGCAGCAGGGGCAGGTAGGATCTGACCCTCGGATGCCTGTAATGGAAAAATCTCAGCTGCAGATCCGGAGGGGGCCAGTTATTTAGGGAATTCAGATGTGAGCCTTGTGCCCTGAGAGTAGATTTCCTGGGCAGGAGGTCTATAATCCCTCTACAGGGTGCTCTCTCCAGGGCCGGAGGAGGCCCAGCCCAGCCAGCCCAGCCAGCGGGTACCTTAGGCCTCTGGCCAAAGCCCAGTTCCCCTCCCTCCTTCTTCCTTTCCCAGTCAGGGTTCTCAGACCTGCCCCTGCTCAGCGGGTGTCCACTCACTCCATCTCTGGGCCTAAGGAAATGGGGACACTGCAGGAGAACCCTGTCCCCCGACTGCGCCTGGCAGGTGGAGGCAGGAATATTTCTTCTCTGTCCCCCACCCTTATTCTTTGGCTCTTCATCAAATGAAATACACCAGTACAGTACCCCCCACCCCCCAGCAGCTGGCATTGTCATGGGTCATCGGCTCTGTCCCCATTTCTATTGAGAATAACGTTGAAGACACCTTCCCAGCTGGAAGTGAAGCCCCCCCCCCAACCCCAGGTCCAACTTCCGGGATCTCCCATGCCTCTTGACACAAGTCACTCTAGGTGGAGATGCCTGTCTCTTTCCTCCCAGAAGGAACTCAAGGAAGTCATTGTTCTTTCTAGTTCATGGACTTGGTGTTTGAGGTGATAATGACTTCCATGCTCTCCCCAGAAATGCCACACCTTCCGGCTTTGACTTCCTCCCGTGCCATTCACCAACCTCAGACTCACCCAGAGCTCCTCTGTAGCAATGAAGGAGAGGCTCTTCCACTCCACACACAAAGAGGTGCTCCCGAGGGCCTGCTGTGCTTGGCTTAGGGCTGCCTTCTTGGTCCTCTCACATCCTCTGTCCTTCGCTCCCCCCACCCACCCCCGCCTCTAGGTGCTGAGAGTCTTGATTGTCCTGAACACTGGATGCAGGTGTGGCCAACTTTTAAATATCGTGACACAAAGTTGTCATCTACAACATTCACGTCATCGATAAGTCACACTGGAGAACTAGGCAATCACGTTATCAAAAACAAATGACCACTATAAAGCACCTCATAACGTTTGAAGTGAGTTCAGGATGTTGTGTGGGGCCAAGTTCTATCTCAGGGTGTATGTAGCCTAAGGGCAACAAATCAGACATGCCTGGCTCAGAGGTTACATCTGGGAGGCCTTAGGAGGACCCCTCCATCTCCAGACTGGTCCTTTGCAAAGAGCTTCAAATGCAAGAGTCATCTTGTGCTCCGGTTCTAACTCTTTCTTGGTCACGGTTTCCCTGCAGCTTCCACAGCAGAGAGACCAGGCTGTTGCTTTTTCTGGGAAACTGGATGTAGACTCAGGAGATTTGGGTTCTGTCTCATCCACTCAGATTGCTGAATTCTTAACAGCCTCAGATTCCTCACCTGGAAATACAGGCAGTTAGTCTGCAAGATCTCTGGCATCGTAGGACCTCCGAGATGATGTCTCCTGAGGGGCCGGCATCTCTTCCTCCTGCTACCCCCTCCCTATCCCCTTCCCCTTGCTTCTGTCTCAGCCATGGCTGCCCTGGGATGGGGAAGTGCCAAGGGGAGCTGGGGGGGGGGGACACCACCGGACAAAACAGGACCATCAGCTGGGGCCAGTCGCTAAAGAGGCAGGAGGGGAGGAGTCCTCAGGGATCCAGTTTCAACAAACGTTTCTTTCCCCGAGAAGGGGAAGGCGGGGGTGAGGGGGAGAGGGACCTATTTAAAGCTACCCTGTTGCTCTGGCCGGCTCTGTCTGTCTGCCAGGGTCTCCAGCTGCCCCAGACAGGCCGTGTGGTCTTGAGATCCTCCTGGTGACCTTTTCAGCCTAGGTCCCCTCAGCCACTCTGCCCCAAGATGGGTCGTGGGGTGAGTATCCCCAAAGATCAGGGGCCACTCTCTGGAGGGTGAGGAAGACAACGGAGAAAGGGTGGAGCGGGAATGGGATGCGGAGGGAGGGTGAGAGACGCGGACTGCTGAGTGGGATGGTTTGAACTTGGAACTGGTCTCCCAGCTGCACATGCCTGTGGACTCCACAGTGCTAGCCCAAGCGCTGTCCTGTCCTGCAGCCGCCCTGGCCTCCTCCTCTCCACAGCTAGCCCAGAAGCCACCCAAGTGCCCGCCTAGGTCTCCCTGCACTCTATCCCCTCATCTCCTCTGCCCAAATCTTCCCTCTCTCACCACAGTTCCTGGCTTCCCAGCTGAAGAGGTGTCGGGCATTGTTAGTTCTCTCCCACCCTTGTCACCCCCTGAAAATACCTGCTCCTCTGAGGTCCTAGCCGGAGAGGATAGGGGGCCAGCCTGGGGTTGCAAAGCAGCTGTGGAACATCCCACTCCCAGAGCCACCAAGCAGTTTGCTACACCCCGCGCCAAGAGCCCTGCCTGCGTGCCAGAGTCAGCTGGGAGGGAGAGCAGGACTCTCTCCCCAGCCCTCACCCCAGCACCCCTCCGGAGGATGTCCCAGCAACACTGTCCTCGGCCCCCAGCCATAGGCTTTAGGGTCCTTTCCAAAGGCTGGTGAGAACGGCCCCTGCCCATGGCGTCCTGCAGCAGCGGATTTGCCAATGAAAAAGATCAACAGCTATGTCTGGGCGAGCAAAGGACGAGGCTTCCAATTCTTGGAAATGAAATTCCCATATGAAGCAGAGTGACCCAATCCCTTTACATCCTGGGCTTGGCTGCTTTCCTGCTGTGGAATGCTGGCAGAAGAGGGTACGGTGGGAAAGGGCTTGACAGACCATTGCAAAATGCGAGGGAGACCGTGCCACGGGGTGCTGGGGGCCAATTTCTGGGCCCAAGGAGGAGTCAGGCAAGGACATGTTATTGCACTAAGCTGAACAGCTGGACAAACTCTGAGCCTGGACACCAGGGTTCCAGAGTTAGAGTGGGAACTGAAAATAGAAGAGTCCCATGCGTGCACGTATACGTGTGTGTGTCTGTCTGTCTGTCTGTCTGTCTGCCTATGTCTGTGTGTGTGAACACGAGTATATGTGTCCACAACCTCACACCCCTGTGTGTCCTCAGGAAGCTGGTAGTGCTGCAGGCATTCATGAGTGAACCTGTACCAGGTTTCTGCAGGTGAATTGGCAAATGAACAGCCTTTGGGCATTCGGGCACAGATGGTGGGTGGGGGTGAGTGCTCTGAGCCCACCCTTAGTTGCTGTCTATGGTCCATGGGTTTCCCTGAGGCAGTGATCATAGTCATGGGAAGACACATTGCCCTGGGACCTTCAGCAATATCTTGGTATCTCCTGTTCCCCGTAGAAAGGGAAGATCCAGCTGAGGTGCAGAAATTCTGAGAGGCCAGGGCCAACCCTAACATCTAAGAGAAAAGAGAGGATGCCCCCAACCCCTCTCCACCTTAGAGCAAGGTGGACCTAGCTCACGGAGTTCTTTCTACTTGAAATGCAATTTGACCTTGAATTCTCCATTCTAAACTGCCCCCTGCCCCGCCCCCAACCCTGGCATCCAGCACCCTTGCTGGGTTCATAACCTGTGGTACCCCTAACCTAGTGGCTGTGAGTGATGCTATTAGTGGTCTGGTTTGTTTGGTTTGAAAAGCTGGGTTAAGTCTGGGATCTTAAGGTTGGGTGCTCAGAGTCCTACCTCTCAGGAAAAGCCTGCGGGTGGGGGGGGGGGACAAGCTCCCATTCTCCACACTCAACTCTGTGGTCGGCTTCACCTCCACTCCAGCCCATCACTATGCTACTGTGAAGGGCAAGCGTGGGAGTTGAGGGAAGAAATCACACTGGTGGGAGGAAGCCAAGCCTCCTCCAGAGGCTGAGGTGGGGGTGGGGGGAGCGTTGGCTGATTTCCAGCTACCCCCACTCTGTCCCAGACTCTGGCTTTCTCAAAAAGAACTCTCTGTTCTCCTTCAGCATTCAAGACCCAAAGAGAGGGACTCGTGCTAGGGGAGGGAGGAAAGAGCAGAGGGGGGAAGGGGGGTCCCCGCTTCCTCTTTCTTTCTTCCCTGGGCAGCCACTGGCCCCAAATCTCCACAGGCTCCTGGCTGTGGAGCCTCAGATCCTTGCCAGGACAGGAGGAGGGGGAAGGGCAGTGTGTCCCAAGCTTCACACTTGTGGGAGCTGGGAAAAGAAGGCACCACATGGAGCTGTTTAGCTCATCCCAAATTCAACATAACAACATACAAGAGCCAGCACATCCTCCCCCCCGCCCCAGAAACATGCATTTGTCTATTTGAGATAGGATTTCACTATGTCGCCCAGGCTGGACTCAAACTTCTAATCCTCCTGCCTCCACCTCCTGAATTGTGGGAATCCAGATGTGCACCCCACCACCTCCGGCTTCAGAAGGGGCCATTTGATTCTCATTTTTCATGTCTTTTATTTTACACCAAATGTGCAGAGATTTCTCTGGGCTCTGCTCCTCAGGCCCTAGCACAAGCCTCTCCTGGAGGCTCCTATCCCAGAAGCCCCCAAGGATCACGCTGACAGCGGTCCAGATTGCTTTCATGCATTCAGTCCCTTTGTGGTTTCCCATCCTTTACTCAGCCCTGCCTCACCAAAGAGGCCAAAGCATTTCAGTTCTCCCAATTAAATGAAGCCTCTTATATCACCTGGGAAAGTGAGAGGCAGAAGTATTTCTGAGTCCTTCTCTACCCTTCCGATGGCCACTTCAGTCTCCCCAGGATGCTTGGCCTCCAGAAGATCTAGACCAGCCTGGATTCATAGGTATTTCAGATAGCGAAGAGAGCATGATGTTTTGATCACCTTTTCGAAACGGACCATGTCTGAGCAACACAGCCTCCAAGGGCACACCTCCTTCTAGGTCACTGAATCCTGAAACAAGTGCCCATCAGATTGCATTGCATGTCCATTCCCTTCTTTGCTCCTGATGTCACTGGGCAGAATTCTATTACCCAGGGTGCTAAGTTTACGATTTCTTATGATCACAGCAGCTGTCCTGTTCCCCAGGATCGCTCTAACGCTGATGGGTAAAAATACGTTAATCCTGGAGCACTGAGGACATGCTAGAGAAACAGGAGGTTCCCACTGATAAACATCTGCCTAAGTCCATAGAACATACACGGCCAGTGTGTCAGCTGGAAGGTGGTGATGAAACAGTGTACCCCTCCAACAGTGCGGGATGCTGATGGGGAGGGAGGCTGTAGTGATGAAACAGTGTACCCCTCCAACAGTGCTGGATGCTGATGAGGAGGGAGGCTGTAGTGATGAAACAGTGTACCCCTCCAACAATGTGGGATGCTGATGAGGAGGGAGGCTGTAGTGATGAAACAGTGTACCCCTCCAACAATGTGGGATGCTGATGAGGAGGGAGGCTGTTATAATGAAACAGTGTACCCCTCCAACAGTGTGGGATGCTGATGAGGAGGGAGGCTGTAGTGATGAAACAGTGTACCCCTTCAACAATGTGGGATGCTGATGAGGAGGGAGGCTGTAGTGATGAAACAGTGTACCCCTCCAACAGTGCGGGATGCTGATGAGGAGGGAGGCGGTCCATGTGTAGGGACAGAAGATTCGTGAGCACTTCCTCTGCTTTCCACCAACCTTTGCAGTCAACTCAAAAGTTGCTTTAAAAAAAAAAAAACTATTAAAAATGAACCCCACCCCCCAAATGCATAATCTTGAAAAACAAAACAAACAAAAAACCCACACAGATTATTGCTTCTACCAGGTGCCCATTCTTTACGGAAAACACCAGTCATAACCATGGCGTGGAAAAATCCACTTCTAAAAGCTCAAGGTAGCCTTCAGGGTCCATAGAAAAGCCAGAGGGACCGAGCAGAAACTCAGCTAAGCCCTGTATCCTGAGGGAGATGGAAAGCCATGGAGGGAGATGACAGTGTTCTTCACAGTATCCATAGCCCCCAGGCCTTTCCCAGCCCCCACCTAGCCCATTCCTCCAAGGCTGCCTGCCATCTCCCTCAAGAAGCTCCTATGAGACCCCGAAAGCCTGCAGTAGCCCTGAAGAGAAGAGCAAATGGGGAACTCACAGATCACTATTAAAAACACCCAGCTGCCCTGGACAGAAGCCAAAGACTGACCTGACTTACATGACTTCAGTTCTCTGTTTACTCTCATATACATGTCTTGGCAAAGGGAACCCAGTTGTGCTCTTGGGATTTCAAGCTCTGTGAGTTGCCTCTGTCCAGTCCCAGGTAGGCCTGTCCAGCAGGCTGGCGAGGGCTCCCAGCATACCCTGGGCTCCCCTTTTATAGACATTATAGAACCTGACACCATTAGTTTCTCCCAGTCCCTCATCCCTGCCCATTCCATGCCCACCACCTTCTCTCTGCTTCCCAGGACTCTTACTCTACCCAGCATTCCTCTCTAAACTAGGCAACGACATTCCTACAGGATACCCTACCCATCAGCACAATCCCTGTCCACTCCCAGAATTCCCTCAAATAACATAGGATGGTATTTTTCAAAATGTGTATGTGTTTTCTTTTTTATTATCTGGCAGAATCCCATATCACATAGTAAACAGATACAAGTTCAACTGTGGGGGGGCTCCTCACAGCTCTGCCTGGGCTCTCCCACCTCCTGCTCCCATTCTCTCCCAGCACCCTGCTTCCAATGCTGGGACATTCTCCATGGCTGATGGGAACAGGCTCCGGCCAGTCTCCCTGATACTCTGTGCCCTCCCTTCCCTTTGCAGGCAGGGCGTGAGTACTCGCCTGCCGCCACCACCGCGGAGAATGGGGGTGGCAAGAAGAAACAGAAAGAGAAGGAGCTCGATGAGCTGAAGAAGGAGGTTGCCATGGTAAGGACCACGGTGCTTTCAGCAAGGCCATGGACGAGCAGCTCTGCTCTGACAGTCACGCACCAGTAACCATGGGCATCCAAAAAAAAAAAAAAAAAGCTTTGCATACAGGCCCATGCTCCTCGCTTAATCCTGTGCCCCCAATGTGTGCTCAGCCTCCTTTCCCAAAGTGTCTCTATTTCCCCTTCCCCAGGATGACCACAAGCTATCCTTGGATGAGCTGGGCCGAAAATACCAAGTGGATCTGTCCAAGGTGAGTGGAGCCATGAGGGGAGAGAGGCAGGCAGCTTCAGGTGGGAGAGCCTCATCTCCAATGCTCTTTGCAGGTGAGGGAGACAGCCCAGAGATGAGAGACTTACCTAACGCCATGGGATTAGTTGATGGCACAGTCAGAAATAGACTTTGGACCCCTGCTTCCCTCTCTTTCCCCGAGTATCGGGGAGCTAGAATTCCTTAGAACCCAGGGCTCAGATCCTGGCGAGACTCTGCTCTGCCTCAAGCAACTGCTCTCAGAGATGATGGACATGGACCAGCAAGGTGACTCATCCCTGTTATGATAGTACTTGCTGGCTCCTGCTACATCCGTGCCTCTGTAATAAGATGCAGTGTGGACATTTCTTTAATCCTCACCCTAGCTCTGTCAGGCATTGTCAGCCTGTTTATTAAAGCAAGGAGAATCAGAAAGGGAGAATTACTTGCTGAATTTGGACCCCGGCCCATGCTCCTCACTTAATCCTGTGCCCCGAAGTGTGCTCAGCCTCCTTTCCCTCTTCCCCAGGATGACCATGACCTGTCCTTGGATGAACTAGGTTAGTTATATAAATAAACACAGGCCACAGTCAGATTGCCAAGCCCATCATTTAAAAATGTTTTAAATTGTTCCTCAAAGCTACGTGCACTGGCAGACACCTGTAACCCCGGCTACTTAGGAGGCTGAGGCCGGGAAGATTGCAAGTTCAAGGCTAGCGTGGACAACTTAGAGTCCCTGTCACAAAATCAAATTTAAAAAAGGCTATGCATGTAGTTCAATGACAGAGAGTGCTGTGCAGCTTGTGTGGTGCCCTAAATTCAATCCTTAGTTTAAAAAAAACAAATCTTCCAAGCGCTTTGGCAGTCAACTGTAGTCCTAGGTACTTAGTAGAAAAAAGACTTGGACCCAACAGTTCAAGACCATCCTAGACAAAATATTGAAATCCTGGCTCAGACAAGTGAAAACACTGCAAAGCCAGCCACAAGTTCAAGGCCAGCTGGGGCTATAAAGTCACTTCCAAGCTGTAAGAATAACTTACCTTAAAAGAAAAAAAAAAAAGGATAAAAAATTGATTGTGACACTACCCCTGGCCCACTGCCTTCTGTCTCTGCTCCTAAATTGCTATGCTCCCATTCGTTGACGCTACTTCATTTTCTACTCTCCAGCATCCTCGTGTATTTATTATTGTGTAGGTTTCCTCTTTAGATTGTGGGCAGGGCTTTGTTGATCTTGCCAGTCTCTCAATCCTTCCCAGTGCTGGGCATGCAGTCGGAGCTCACCATTCATGTGTAAAGTAGGTGAATAAATGACATGATGGTCAGTCACAAGTGGTTCCTGCTCAAAGTCAGTAGCAAAAAAATTAAAAGCAAAAACCATCCAAACAGAATTCCAGTGCAGTATAGTAAGCACCACTCTAGAATCAAGCATGGGGGGGGGGGCGCGGGGGTGCTAACCGGATCCAGAAAGAGGCCTTTGATCTCGTCTGGGGCCTAAAGAATAGCAAGTTTGGCTAGGTTTTCTTTGGGAAGTGATAGGTGGTTGCCAAAATCACATGGCACTAAGGGTCAAAGCTGTGGGGCTTTCCCTGGAGCCCTGGAGGAAGGAAGGACCTGCAGGAAGAGACGAGGGTGGTCAGACAAGGAATCTTTCCGGTGTGCTTATGCATACGGTCCCAACAAAAACATGTTTCAACCCAAGAATAATGGAAGGTGGAGCCTTAGGGAGAGTCCTTTCTACCCTTCAAGGCACAAGTCCCATTTATAGACATCAGTATCTCTGTGTGGTCCCTCCTGATGTTCCCACCCCTCCCAACCAAAGGAGTTGTTTTTTTTTTTTTAATCCAACTGGGCATTATTCTCCAAGATGCTGAGAGATGTGGTGAGGGTCAGGTTTGTTCTGTACACCCACTCCTACATCTTTTCTCATTCCCCAGGGCCTCACTAACCAGCGAGCTCAGGACATCCTGGCTCGGGATGGACCCAACGCCCTCACGCCACCCCCCACAACTCCTGAGTGGGTCAAGTTCTGTCGTCAGCTTTTTGGGGGCTTCTCTATTCTTCTGTGGATCGGGGCCCTCCTCTGCTTCCTAGCCTATGGTATCCTGGCCGCCATGGAGGACGAACCATCCAATGATAATGTGAGCCATGCCCCCAACCCTTGGACCAGCCAGCCCATGGTTCTGCCCTCCAACTCTCAACCCCAAAGAAGGTGATGTGGGGGGGGGGAGACAAGATCATAGTCCCTCAGGCTGAAGAGGGGTGAGGCTTCTGTACATGCCTGTGGAGCACCCTCCAACACATGCCGTCAGTGATGAATGAGAGATCCTCCGTGCTCATTCCACCAAAAGGGGCTGGTCTGTATGCCATGGGAACTCATTTCCTTGCTCCTTTCATGCTAGGAGTGTGGGTTAGAAGACTGGGTGGGGGGCTGAAGTGAAAGACTCACTGTCATCCTCTTGCCTGGGCTCAGATGGAGGCTGGGGATCCCACATAGGATGACTCTGAGTGCTCTTCCCAATGACAGCCACCCTCAAGGTGAGAAATGGCGGGTCCTTCAAACTCTTTCTCCTTACCAGTTATACCTAGGTATCGTGCTAGCAGCTGTGGTCATCGTCACTGGCTGCTTCTCCTACTACCAGGAAGCCAAGAGCTCCAAGATCATGGACTCCTTCAAGAACATGGTGCCTCAGGTAGATGGTAGGGACTGGCTCCATCTAACCTGGGGCATAAGATTTCCGAGATGGCTCACCTCTTACCATCTTGCGGTCTGAGGTGAAAGAAAGATGGGCAGAAAACACCACCCTTTTCGGCTCTCCACACCAGAGCCAAGTCTTGTTGTTGAAGGTGTGGGGGTTTCTTCTCCTCCTTTGGAGGGAGAACAAATTGTAAGCAAAGGTGGGAACAGACTTCATTTCATGAGGTACTCCTGGCCTCTCCACAGCAAGCTCTGGTCATCCGAGAGGGAGAGAAGATGCAGATCAACGCGGAGGAGGTGGTGGTGGGAGACCTGGTAGAAGTGAAGGGTGGGGACCGTGTCCCTGCTGACCTCCGGATCATCTCTTCCCATGGCTGCAAGGTGAGGGGGTCACCAAGAGCACCTAGCCGGCTGAGTCTGTACAGAGTCAAGAGAGGCCCTCTTGGAAGTTCAAAAGAAACCCAACCACAAATGTCAAGGTCTCCCCTGTACCTCCCAACTAAACCTCCTTCTAGGATATGATGGCTACATGCTGCCTCTGTGTATCTGTGTTAGGAATGCTCTATGCCCCGGGATTTCTTTGATCTAACCGCTTTATAGCCATTGTGTATGGAATATCATTTATTGACAGAAGCCTTACCTACTATCCACTTTCACTCTGAAATATTCCAGACCAGCCTGGGCTACAGAGAGCCCCCAAATAATAAATAAATAAAATTTTAAGGAAATAAAGACTGAAGAGCTGGGTCTTCACACCTGTAACTTAGCACTCTGCAAGCGGAGGATAGAAGCAGGAGGATGGAGAGTTCAAAGTCAGCGCAGCCTGGCTACATAGAGAGGCGTCTGGAAAAAAGATGATGTAATTATGAAGGCTGCTGTGTGCTGCGGCCCGATCAGCCCCAGGAGGCAGCATTTTCATAGACTGCCTTGGTGGTGGTGCTTCTGGAGTTGTGCAATACCATGGTCTTGTTTACATTCCCCCGCTTCACAGGTGAACAAATGAAGGTCTTGTGGGTTAAATAAACAGCCCAAAGACACATAAAAGTCAGGAAGAGTCAGTCATCCAAACCAAAGCAGGAGCGATAGCTGAGTAATGCCATAAGTATGTGATGAGGGCAAGCGTAATTTTGTTCCTCTTGTCCTGAAGATTGAGGGTGGTTGGATCTGGCTCAGGAGACCGCTGTGTGCACACAGTGCCGCCGCCACCGCTGCTGCCAGTTGGATGACTACACTCCTTTCTCCTCAGGTGGATAACTCATCCCTAACAGGGGAGTCGGAGCCCCAGACCCGTTCTCCTGAGTTCACCCATGAGAACCCATTGGAAACCCGCAATATCTGTTTCTTCTCTACCAACTGTGTGGAAGGTGAGACGTTCGCCTCCCAAGGACGCTCCTCATCCCAGCACAGTGTAGGGAAGGGTCGGACTCCCAAAGCTGTACTTATTTGGCAAAGGTTCTGCATATAAAGGGCATTGAGGGAACAGAGCCCTGAACGTTGCAGAAACAGTCATCTCTGGAGAGCAGGGCGTGGGCCAAGGGCATACTGACTCTATTGGAAGTCACCTCTCCCCCAAGAGGTTCTCTGTTCTGCCCATCCCCAGACTGAAAGCCTTCCACAAAACTTTCAGATGGTGGGTCAAGATGCAACCCCGCCCCCTCACGCACACAGCCTTGTCTCTTAGAAGTGTGGGGAGTCAGGTGATGTCTTCTAGGTCTGTGGTTCTGGACCATTTGCTTCCTTCCTTCTCTCTTTATTAGAAACCAGAGAGACTCAATCTGGGTCAGGAAAACTTTCTGGTGAAAATCAGGTGCTCCTTCAGGCCACGAGGAGAAGGAAATTCTCATACTGTGCAGCCTGCCCTGGCTTTTCCATCTCGGCTCTGGGTTCTAGTGATGAACACTGGTGGCTAAGGGGAGATCTGGGAGCTGTTTTCACATAAGAATGGGGTCTAAGCACCACTATAACCCTCCAGGCAGGGAGCTCAGTCAGGACTGACTCTGGGAAGGAATCTGGAGGCAGGAGATGGCAGGAGAGGCTTCCTAGACCACAGACCTCTCAGACGGTGACAAAAAAAATGCCTTCTCGCATCCCAAATCCATGCCTTTCCTTCCCGGATACTCTTTCTCCTCCATATATTGGTTCTTTGGGCTTGGTTCCCTCCTTCAGAGAATTGGAATTAGAATTAAAAAAAAAAATCACTACACATTAAATTTCCTAAATTTTTAATGTACTGAGAGTCTGATTTATCATACATTTCCCATAACTGAATGTATTTGAAAGGTCAGATAAGGTGTTCTTACAGCTTACTCAGCAACTAGCTCAGAAGAGAGGGAGGGAATGAATGAAAGTCACAGTTGTTGCATGGCTGCTGTGTGACGGGCACTAGACAAAATGCTTCACACTGTTATCCCACTCCACCTCTGAGTCCTAGGTGAGAGTGCAAACCGGCATTCACCCCTAGATGGCTGACTTCAACATGCATCCTCTTCCCACCGTACCACATTTCCTTTCCCAAAGACCCCCGTAATATCACACATGATGAATGACTACCCAACTTCCTGTATAGAGAGATTCATACCTAACATTGAGATCTTTTTTAATTAAAAAAAATCTTTCGTAATTATTAGTGTGTGTGTGTGTGTGTGTGTGTGTGTGTGTGTGTGTGTGTAAGTGAGCACACTCATGTCACAGCACACATGTGGAAGACTTGCAGGACTTGGTTCTCTCCTTCTGCCATGTGGATTCCAGAGACCCAGCTCAGGTCGTCAGGATTAGTGGGTAGTGAGTGCCCTTGCACACTGAACTATCTTGCTGGACCAAGAAAATCTTAAGTCCCCACCAAAAAAAAAAAAAAATCAATAAGTACTTTACTTCTGTTTATAATATGCTTTTGAAAGATGTCTAGTAGAAGATTGATTTGCTGAAACGTTGCAGGCAATTTATATTTCATTTATCGAATCTCTTCTGTTTGAACTTTAGTATTACTTGCAAGATATCTTCTCAGGCCCAAATATAAAAGAAAATAATTTGTGACTGTATTAAATCTGAGATTGGTGATCTATGCAAGGAGGGTAAGCCCAGCTTACTAAAAATAGCCTCCGGGGTTAGAGTCTTCGGCTTATTTACTCTGTGATGGTTTTATTTCCTTAGCAAATATGGTGAGATTTCAGCCATCAGCAAGCCCAGGGCACTTATTCTCCGTTCCTTTCCTCTGTTGTAGGCACTGCCAGGGGCATCGTGATTGCCACAGGTGACCGGACAGTGATGGGCCGCATAGCCACTCTCGCTTCTGGCCTAGAGGTCGGGCAGACACCCATAGCCATGGAGATCGAGCACTTCATCCAGCTGATCACAGGAGTGGCAGTGTTCCTGGGGGTCTCTTTCTTTGTGCTGTCCCTTATCCTGGGCTACAGCTGGCTGGAGGCGGTCATCTTTCTCATCGGCATCATCGTAGCCAATGTGCCTGAAGGACTGCTGGCCACTGTCACTGTGAGTGGACCCGGCTGAACTGCCTGCCCCCAGTGCCACTGCCCTTGTCTTTCTCCATGTTTGATACAAACACAGACGCTTATTGCTTTTCAGCAATGTTCTTCCCTCCGAGTCCCTGCGGCCACATCGCAGGCTCCGTACACAGAAATTGTTTAATGCGTGCCTTGGAGTTTTCAGTTGAGAAATCTTGGATTGAGCTGCATCTGAGCATTCGATTTCTCTTTGGGGGCTTGTCGTGGCCATTTCTCACCATCTGTGGGCTTGTCTCCCGGTGCAGTCTGGGCTTCATCCTGTCTCGCTTGCTATAAAGTCTCTTTCAAAGGTCACCGGTGACTAACTAGCAAACCAAATGACATTTCTTAGCTCCCATCCTTAACTCTGCTCTGAAATGGATACTTCTGTCCACCCTCTGGCACTGTGTCCTTCACCAGCCACTGTGGTGTGTCACCACCCTTGCTCTCTTGTCCCGTGTCCTCACAGAAACTCAGTGGCTGTCAAGCCCCAGGCTCTGCTTTCCTCTTGGTTGCCCTCGAGGGGATCCATTTTCTCCCACAGTTTCTGTTGTCCCCTCTGTGTGGGTGGCTCTCACATCTTTGTGCCAGCTCTGGAGTCGGATGTGTTCAACTCTCTGCTGGGCATTTACCACACAAGTACACCGAGGGACCCGTTCAACGTACCTAAAAGTTGAACTGTTGCTGTGTACTGCTAGGTCCCACCCAATCTGATCTCAGTCCACTCCTTCCCCCTTTGGTGGCTTCAGGTGTGCCTGACGCTGACAGCCAAGCGCATGGCTCGGAAGAACTGCCTGGTGAAGAACCTGGAGGCGGTGGAGACGCTGGGCTCCACCTCCACCATCTGCTCGGACAAGACAGGCACCCTCACCCAGAACCGCATGACCGTGGCCCACATGTGGTTTGACAACCAGATCCACGAGGCTGACACCACCGAGGATCAGTCTGGTGATTGGGTGCTCCAGAAAGGGTGACGGGAAGTGGCTAGGGCTGAGGGCCCCGGCAGAAGAGGGAGACTAGGGTGTGCAAACGCTCTAACGGGGAGCCATGCTTCTCCCTTGTTTCTTCCAGGGGCCACTTTTGACAAACGGTCCCCGACGTGGACAGCCCTGTCTCGGATTGCCGGTCTCTGCAATCGTGCTGTATTCAAGGCTGGTCAGGAGAACATCTCTGTGTCTAAGGTAAGGGGGTCAGCCAGTGAGTGCAATGTCGTCTTCAAGGTCCCCTTGCTGATGCCCAGCTTTCCCTTTCACATCCTGCAGCTGCCTTTGGTGACCTCAGCTGATGCCCCGTCCCTCCCATCCTCCACTCCCTTCCCTCCCCCACCGTGAGACACTGAATTCCATTTTCTTCTGGCAGCGGGACACAGCTGGCGATGCCTCTGAGTCAGCTCTGCTCAAGTGCATCGAGTTGTCCTGTGGCTCAGTGAGGAAGATGAGGGACAGGAACCCGAAGGTGGCAGAAATTCCCTTCAACTCTACCAACAAATACCAGGTCTGGCTGGGCTGCTGGGACTGAGAGAGAGAAAAGGGGTCAAAGATGGGGAGAGTGAGTGAACAGAGACTCAATAGAAGAAAGGGAGCCAGCGGAGACTCAGCAGAAAGAAGGGACGGGGATGTCTGAGGACTGTGTGCTCCTCTCCGGCCTCACTCCCGGGATAAACGTCCTAGCTGCACGTGGGCTCGTCACCATCCTCTGACTGGCAAGCCTGACTACATGCAACCTCTCTTCTTCCGCACCGACTGGCAATGGTCCTCCAACACTGCCATCCATATAACTAAAGCTCACTTCCATAATTTCCTTACTGGATCCCTCAGTATTTAGGTGCCTGTTAATGCCAAGAGTAGTCTCACCTCTACTCTGCATGCACCACGGAGGTGAAGTCCGTGGGTCATCCGGGAATGGGGGTAGGGGGTGCTAGTGAAAGCCATCCAACCCATAGCACGATGCCTGTCACTAACTGATTTTAGTAACTATTTGCTGAGTGAATCACTGTTCTGTGGAAGTGACTCTCAGATTTTAAGACTTGGGACTATAAGCAAACACCCTCCACGCACAGTTTCTCCTTTGTTGACACTCTCTGATGGGTTAGATTATGTTATTAAGGAAGGGTTCCTTCTCGGAAGCTGCTCCCTATCGGACCCCCACGCTGAGTCACCAAGATAGTCTGTCTCCCTCTGTGACGGCCTGTCTCCTCTCCAGCTGTCCATCCACGAGAGAGAAGACAGCCCCCAGAGCCATGTGCTGGTGATGAAAGGAGCCCCGGAGCGCATCCTGGACCGATGCTCTACCATCCTAGTGCAGGGCAAGGAGATCCCTCTGGACAAGGAGATGCAAGATGCCTTCCAAAACGCCTACATGGAGCTGGGAGGACTCGGGGAGCGTGTACTCGGTGAGGGGGCAGAAACGGAAGCTGGGCTGAGAAAGGGGTTTTCCTGGGCCTTGGTAGTGCCTCTAGCCCGAGGGGCCCTGGAGGCAAGCAGGCAGCCACTCCGCGGTTCTCACGCCTCCCTCCGGCTCCTCCTCAGGCTTCTGTCAGCTCAACCTGCCTTCTGGAAAGTTTCCTCGGGGCTTCAAATTTGACACGGATGAGCTGAACTTCCCCACAGAGAAGCTCTGTTTTGTGGGGCTCATGTCCATGATTGATCCGCCCAGGGCAGCTGTGCCAGATGCTGTGGGCAAGTGCCGAAGCGCAGGCATCAAGGTACTGGCCTCCTTCCCACCCCCACCCCACCTCTGTCCTTGGACGCCTGACCACCTGCCAGAGGTCAATGGGCTGTGGCAGCAGCTGCTGTCCCAAGGAGACACAGGCTCCCGGTGGCCTCCTTCCCACCAACACAGAGAAGCTGTCCGTCTGTAGGGAGAGGTGTACGCTTGACCAGAGCTCTTGCTGCTTCCTTTTGCTCACGCCTATCTTCTTGCCCAGCTCAGTGCTCCACCTGCATGGGCACTCTCTCTCTTCATTCTAAGCACCAGCTGGCACTCCCATCATGGATGCTTGGTTATCTGACTGCCCAACTGCTCAGTCTGCCCATTTGGAATGGGGATAGACAGGTCTCGTCTGCCCCAGTGGGTTCACCTTATCACTCCATATTCTCTTCACTCGCCCACGACTGCCCACCGAGATCTTGTCCAATCACAGCCAGTTCCCACTGAATACTCTCTCTCTCATTTGTTTGGCTTGTTCTTCATCCAGCAAATATTTATTGCTTACCAATTGTGCATCGGGCACTGTGTGAGGTGCCAAGTTATTTAATAAACCAACCAACCATCCAGGAACTCAGTTCCCTATTTCCAGGACAGGTCCCTGACATCCTCTTTCTCTGGTCACCACGTCTGGTGCTCTCCCTCGCTCTTCTATTTTTTGAACAGTGCAACTCAACCTGCTCCCTGAGAGCCAAGTCTTTGTAGTCCACTGGGGATACAAAGATGAATAGAAACTGGGCCTGGCCTCCACATCTCAAGATCTCTTGGGGGTGGGGGTGGGGCAAATGCATCTAAACACATCATGGAATAGTCATAAGAGTTGAGGTCGTTGAGTACCTATTGGCCAGATGCTCTAATGATAAGTTATTTTGATGTTTTACATGCATCAGATACTACTCTAAGCATTAAGCATGGCAGCCTTCTGGGTAAGTACAAGTATCTCCCCTGTTACGGAGAGATAAACTGAGGCACAAAATAGCAAGCCCAAGATCATATGCTAGTAAGTTGTGAAGTCGGAACTTGAAACAAGGCAGTCTGTTTCTTAACCACCACACCCGAAGACTGGGTGCTGTGTATGTGTGTCAGTTTTGACTGTAATAAGCACTCAGAATGGAAAACAGGCCTTATTACCCCCTCGGTAATACACAAACACATAGAAACCCAGAGTAGGTAAACAGTCTCCCCAAAATAGAACTGTTGGTAAGAGGTGAACTGGGAATACGAAGCACAGTTGGCCTGTCTGGAAGCCATGCTCCTTCTCTCTGCCCAGTCAGGTGCCTCTCGGCATGATGAGAAATAGCACAGAGCCTGGGTAAGGACTCTATGGAAAATTAACTGGGAGCTGTTAATTCTGCCTCTGAGAACGAGTCAGGGTTTAACCGAAGGGATGATATTTGACCTGGGCCTTGAAGGCTGAAGAGGATTCAGTAGGCTATAAGGGAAGGGGAGGCATGGCATGATCAGGGAACAGTGTGTGCCGTACATGCCTACACTATCAGGAGGTGGAGGTATACAGGTCAACAGGGGAGAGACCATGAGAGAGCACTGGGAATTGGGGCTGAGACCTTGGGTCAAGGCCAGTTGGAAGGATTTCCTTTAAATGCCAGACTTGAGCCTTATCTTGTGCGCCACAGAAGGCCACAGATGTCACAGATAGGGCTTTCAGGGTACCTAACGGAGGAGGGACTAGACTTGGGGAAAAGCCGAAGTCGGGAACAGGGAGACAGATTGAAAGGTGCACAATAGTCCAAGCAAGGGACGGGGATCTGAACCAGGCAGAGACAAAGGGAACGAAGACACATAGTTGCATTTAAGAAGCCTTTTGAGAACTTGGTGAGCTGGCTGGGCTCCGGGTGGGAAGATACGGTTGGAGAACAAGACAGAGTAAACAGAACAGATGGTATCTAAGAGAGGGAGAGGAGCTGGGGCGTGAGGGGAGTACAGACAGAGGGCAGCATGGACCTTAAGTCTAGAGCATGTGTAAGAAACACAGAGACAGAGACAGAGACAGAGACAGAGACAGAGAGACAGAGAGAGAGGGTGCACATCTAGGGACAGTTGGAATATAGTTTAGAGTTCATGAAAAACGGTCAGGACTGGAGGTTTAAGTCTCGTTAGCACATGAGTACAAACTGAAGGCTTACCAGAATATTTTACTGTACTGTTCAGGAAGCAGACAGGAGTCAAGGAAAGGGTGAAAAATGAAACACTAAGCTCCCCAACATTTCTGGGGAAGTGGAGAAAGAGAAGCCCGTGGGAGTGGGGAGGAGGACATGGCTAACATTTATTGAGTGTCTCCATAATGCCAGCCTGGAATGATGTGGAGCACCCCCTCCACTGTGCCGAGATAGAAAGTTGCCTTGTCTAAGGTCTGACAACTGGTGAAGGCCAGTGTTTAAGCTTAGGTTCCTGTCCAAAGCCAGCACGCACTCCACTCTGCTAGGCTCCGTTCTGCCCCTCCCCCCCCCCCAGGAGGCTTGAAAGAACATGCAGCAGCAGGGTCGGGGTTCAACCGGGGCAGAAATAAGGGGGTGCAGACGCCAAGGGAGTGAAGGGTTTCAGTACCTTAGAGCGTCAAGGACAGCAAGGCCTGCAGAGACACTTGTTTTTCTAGGCGGCACTTTGGGGGTAGTTTCAGGTTAATAATGGGGTGGGAGAGAAGGCAGGGGGACCTGAAGGGGTAGTTGCCTCAGATCTATGGGACTTCTTCTACAAGCCCACATATGCAAATCTGCCCTCAGCCAGCTTTGATCACTGTATGCTGATAATAGCCCCTTCCCAGGCCTACTCCCTTCCGATCCCACTCCATCTATTCTGCAGCAGTAAAGAACATTAATTATCCCGGCGAAGGCAAGAAGTGCCTTCTCCCCATACCACGCAGGGCTGTTGGAAGTCAATGAACATGACCCCAGCTAGACATTGACTCCATCTAAGCCCGACTCTATCCAACTGCACTGCGGCAGTGATCATTTGAGAGACTGGGAAAATCAAACCTTTGTTCAGGGTCCCCGTGACCTTGAAGAAATCGTGAGTGTTCACAAAACTTTGATCTCCTTACTGTATTCAAAGGGAGCTGTTCAAGTTTGGAGAGGTGGCCCAGCAGTTAAGAGCACTCACTGGCTGTTCCTTCAGAGGAGTCACATGGCAGCCCACAACCATTTAGGGTATTAGATGTGCCCTTCTGGTCTCCAAGGGCGCCAGACACATATGTGGTACACAGACATAAAGACAGACAAAACACCCATACACATAAAATAATAAAAGGAGGATGGAGAGGAGGAGGAGTTGTTAAAGGAAGTACCCATCCAGCTCTCTCTGCCTCATTTCCTACATACGCAAACTCCTAAAAAGAATTTCCCAGACAATCCGGGCATGGTAATGTATGCCCATAATCCCAGCACCTGACAGGCACAGGCAAGAGAATCCTGTGAGTTTGAGGTCAGCTTGGTCTACTACATACTTCAAGATCTTGTCCCAGAGAGGGTGGAGGACACATACACACACACACACACACACACACACACACACACACACACACACACACAGAGACAGAGACAGATGGAGAAAGAAGAACAGAGGTGGGGGAGAAAGAGACTACTCTCCTCTGTCAAGGGACCCTCATTAACCTGTCAACCTGCTGTGGATGTTTTCGGCTGTTCAAATAGGCTCTCTCTGATCCTCTTAACCCTGAACCCAACACAGTTTGTCACTGTTTTTTACCCTTATCACCACACACACACACACACACACACACACACACACACACACACACACCTCCACTCTTCTGGCTGGAATTCACCAACCTCAGTCTAACTTTATATGATTTGGGGAAAGGAATGGGGGTGGGAGTGGAACTCAACATTGCTTTCTTTTTCTGTCTTCTTCCTATCAGGTGATCATGGTGACTGGGGACCACCCTATCACAGCCAAGGCCATTGCCAAAGGTGTGGGCATTATATCAGAGGGTAACGAGACAGTGGAGGACATTGCAGCCCGGCTGAACATTCCTGTGAGTCAAGTCAATCCCAGGTAAGGCCTTTACAAAGCCTCTGTTCCTGCCCGGCACATCCTTTCCCACAGAGGTCCTCAGGGTCCCTTGGGGGTGTCTGGACAGCATCTCTGGAACCCTCAGACTAAAATCCTTACTCTGCCAGCCTAATGGCCATTTCCACCGTATCCAGCTTGTACCGCTGATGAGCTGTGTAACCTTGGAAACATCTTGCAGTCATGAATTTCCATTTTTCTCAGTTATGAAATTAAGATGCTGTCCACACGGCAGGGTTGCTATAGGGATGGGATATGCCTAGCAAACAGCACTTAACGTGTGTGTGGTACTGCATGGGGAGGATGTATCATTGCCTTTTCTGAGAGAAATATCGGAACTCAGTGTCACAGAAGAGGGCATGAGAGCAAGAGCAGAGTCCCACCCCACAGAGGACCTGAGGCACATGGGGGCAGGGAGGGGCAGAAGGGCTGGCATGAGTGTGCACAGCCAGCGGTCTCTGCCCATACCCTCCAGAGAAGCCAAAGCATGTGTAGTTCACGGGTCGGACCTGAAGGACATGACGTCAGAGCAGCTGGATGAAATCCTCAGGGACCACACGGAGATTGTATTCGCCCGGACCTCCCCTCAGCAGAAGCTCATCATTGTGGAGGGCTGTCAGAGGCAGGTGAGCAAGGCAGCCAGCGTCAGAAACAGGGCTAAGTCAGGGGCCAGACAGACTTTGTCCTCAAGCACCTTTGGTGTCTTCCCCGCAGGGAGCCATTGTGGCCGTGACTGGTGATGGAGTGAACGACTCCCCCGCGCTGAAGAAGGCCGACATCGGCATCGCCATGGGCATCTCTGGCTCTGATGTCTCTAAGCAGGCAGCTGACATGATCCTTCTCGACGACAACTTTGCCTCCATCGTGACAGGCGTTGAGGAGGGTGAGGAAGCTGTGTGGGCTGCGTGACATCCAGGATGTCTGAAGCCAGACCTTTGCTTCCTCTGATTTTCACGCTAAGATTCCACACTGCTTTAGCTTTAAACCTCTTAGAAAAATGAGCAGCCAGCCACACCTCAGGGGGTAGTGGGGGGAGAGTGCCTCTAAATCTCCCTGATGCTCTCAGAACTTCTCCACAGGCCGCCTGATCTTTGACAACTTGAAGAAGTCCATCGCGTACACCCTGACTAGCAACATCCCCGAGATCACCCCCTTCCTGCTGTTCATCATTGCCAACATCCCACTGCCCCTGGGCACTGTGACCATCCTCTGCATCGACCTGGGCACAGATATGGTGAGGCCAGAGGGTGGAGAACAATCAGACCAGACAATCACTCGGAAGAGGGGCGGGGTGAGCGGCAGATTAAAGGGGTTGCACCAGGACATCTGACCAGACCCTGACCAATAGACAGCAGATAAGCACGGGCCTGGAGGAAAATGGGAAATTTCTCCCTACAACCTGTAATACTGGGGATTGAACCCAGGACTCTCTCGTGCTAGGCAAGCACCCCACCCCTAAGCTGTACTCTAGTATACTGTACTCCTAGTGATAATAGGATCTTTTTTTTTTTTTTTAAGATTATTATGTATGCAGTGTTCTGCCTGCATATGCCTTCATCCCAGAAGAGGGCACCAGATCTCATTATAGATGGTTATGAGCCACCATGTGGTTGCTGGGAATTGAACTCAGGACCTCTGGAAGAGCAGCCAGTGCTCTTAACCTCTGAGCCATCTCTCCAACCCCAATACCCCAATAATAGGATCTTAAATACCAATGCACTGAATTCTGTTGATTCTTCACTGAGCAGTTGCTGCTCTTGTTTTCCGGATCTCTTCAGATACCTTCTCCTCCCCATGTGCTCTGTACACAGGTTCCCGCCATCTCATTAGCCTATGAAGCAGCTGAGAGCGACATCATGAAGCGACAGCCGCGAAACCCCCAGACTGACAAGCTGGTGAACGAGAGGCTTATCAGCATGGCTTACGGACAGATTGGTGCGCCCAGCCAGGGACCTGGGAGGGTGTTCCCAAAGGCTTCTTCTAGTGCCCGAGAGGGATGAGTGAAATTTCGGGAAAGAGTCCAGTTCCCTGAGAGCCAGAGACGTCCCTCTCTGTCTCGAGGGGTGGCCCTTTCCTGCCATTCTCCACTCGTGTCCCACGTTCTGTTTAATAACCACCACAGGCATGATCCAGGCTCTGGGTGGCTTCTTCACCTACTTCGTGATACTGGCAGAGAACGGTTTTCTGCCGTCGCGGCTGCTGGGAATCCGCCTTGACTGGGATGATCGGACTACCAATGACCTGGAGGACAGCTATGGACAAGAGTGGGTGAGTGGGGCTGTGTAAGTGTGCTGCAAGTGAGAAGGGGTAGAGCTGAAGGCCTGGCAGGAACTGGCCAGGAGCAAGCTACGGGCAGAAGATGGGTTAAGCGCCAAGTTAGGCAACCGCCGGAAGCACGCTGTTTGCTGGTGCTATGTATCCTTCCGCTCACACTGGAAGCATGCTGTTTGCTGGTGCTATGTATCTTTCCGCTCACACGTTACCTCTTTCGGCCTGCCTCCTCCCCAGACCTATGAGCAGCGGAAGGTGGTGGAGTTCACGTGCCACACGGCCTTCTTTGCCAGCATCGTGGTTGTGCAGTGGGCTGACCTCATCATCTGCAAGACCCGCCGCAACTCGGTCTTCCAGCAGGGCATGAAGTGAGCGCCTACCACTACCCATACCTACTACCCAGACAGAGTCTTCTAGACATGGTCACCAACCCATACAGGCCAGGTCTCCAAGACCAGATCACCCCAGCTCCCAGGGCTTGGGTTTGCTAAGGAGGTATCTGGTTGTAATAACCTAGCTACTTATCCATAGCCAGGTTTGAAGCACACACACCCAAAAATTAGGTCAGAACGGCAAGACTCTTTTTTATTGAGTTCTAACATTGCTCCTAAAGTAACTGTCATGACTTCCTATCTTCACGTCCATCTTCCTTATTTTCCTCTCATCCCTCCTTCCTTCCTCTTCCATTCCCTACCTTTTTTTTTTTTTAAGACAGGGTTTCACTGTGTAGCTTTGCGCCTTTCCTGGAACTCACTCTGTAGACCAGGCTGGCCTTGAACTCAGAGATCCGCCTGCCTCTGCCTCTTAAGTGCTGGGATTAAAGGCGAGCTCCACCACTGCCCAGCCCATTCCCTATTTGAGTGTCACCTAGCCATGTCCTTTGCCCAGTTCTAAACCCAGGGACAGGTCTCCTGTACTCCACACCAGCACTTGGCATTTGTCCTGTGGTTCTGCTCGGGGTGGGGGGTGGGGGGCGCATTCAGGCCTTTCCTACAATGTGGTACCACATGCCAGGCAGTGAATGAAGTGTCTAATCTCACAGCAGCTCTTCCAGGTGGGTATGACTGTACCCTGTGTGGACCAGCAGTCCCCCAAGGTGAGATGATAAGGTCATTCAGCTGGTCAGGGCCTTCCAGGTTGATCTCTCCACCCCACACTGCAGTAGCTCACTCAGAAAGTGGCTGAGCTAGTCATAGACTTGACAGGTCTGATTCCAGAAACTGCCTGCAGAATTTTGCTCTGTCATGTTTTTTAAATTCTGATGCAATGAATATATGTTAAGTACTTCCTGTGTGGTGACGCAGGAGCAAATGCTGGCTGGGATCAGTATTTTGCAAGCATCGAGACTTCGTTCAGTGTCTGTGATGAGCAACCACCAGGGTCTGTAGGAGATGCTAAGAAATAGAAGGCATCCATGGGCTCCGCCCAGAGGAGCTTTTTAAGACCTCTTGTTGGGAAGATGATATTTTCCCAGGCCATGGGCCCAGAGCAATAACAATTTTAAGCTGTCTGGGGGCAGGCCCCTGTTGACTATTGTATCTCTAGCACTGAGTTACATAGGAAATAATTATTTAATAAGTGAATATATGTATGGTAGACAGTAACCAGAGGAGAGCAGAATAAGCAAAAGAAGAAAAAAAATTTCCTTTGGTTACATGAAGCATGAGAAGAGATTTGAAAAGGATGGGGATGAAAAACCCATCCCTCACATTTCCTTTCCTTCTGCCCCCAGGGGTGGCCCCACAGCTCCCCCTCCTGAGACCCTCCCCCAATGCTACCTGTCTTCTTTTCTTTGCCTTTCTAGGAACAAGATCCTGATTTTTGGGCTCCTAGAAGAGACGGCCTTGGCTGCCTTTTTGTCCTACTGTCCGGGTATGGGGGTGGCCCTCCGAATGTACCCGCTCAAGTGAGTGTCTCTTCAGGTGGCTGAGGGAGTGGTCCTTATGGGACCCAAGTTCTAATTCCACTTCTATTCCACTTCTGTGACACTGTGCCAACCTCTGCGGCCCCTGACGCGTCCTCCCGCTGTTTTTCAGGGTCACTTGGTGGTTCTGTGCCTTTCCCTACAGTCTCCTCATCTTCATCTATGATGAAGTCCGAAAGCTCATCCTAAGGCGGTACCCTGGGGGTAAGCACTCCCACTCTGCACACAGCTCAGACCCTGAGGTCCCAGAAGCCCTGAGCAGACCCACCCTGGCCTCTTCCTTTCAGATCCTGTATCCCATCTTGCATAACATGGTTCTTCAAGGCCTCCACCTTTCTCTAGAACAGTGCTTCTCAACCTTCCTAATGTTGTGACCCTCAGGTTGGGGTGACCTACAACCATAAAATTATGTTCATTGCTACTTCATAACTGTAATTTTGCTACTGTTATGAATCGTAATGTAAATATCTGATATGCAAGATAGCTGATATTCGACCCCTGTGAAATGTTTGTTCAACTCCCCCCCCCAAAGGGGTCACAACCCATAGGTTGAGAACCACTGCTCTAGGATCACTGACCATTCCATTAGAACAGCCCTTCAAAGTCATTGAATCATCTACACATTTTGCTGGTAAAAAAAAAAAAGATGCACGGAGGTGATTTATTTGTTTAGGATCATAAGGCAAGGAATAGAAACTGGCACCAGGGCCCAGGGCTTCTGACTCCCAGGCATCAACTGAGGGTTTGTTTATTTTCCCTAGAAACATGTTTGATCATTTGCTGGGTTGAAATGGACGACCTACAAGCCACACACGGTCCATGAGCCGGGTTCGGGTTGAGTGGCCCAATATTTAAGACGTTTGGTTTTCTAACGGGCCCAGCATCTAAAACTTAGGGGTTTTCACATAAAATCCGAACCCTGGCTTCTAAAACAAATGTAAAGGGCTGTCAGGCCTCCATTGCATTTCTTGTAGCACCAGTGGAACAGCTGTGTCCTTAGACGCTTGTCCCCTGGGGAGCCCAGGAGGCATTTGCATTTTCAGCATCTACTGAACGAAATGCAGGTCTCCTCTGAAGACAGGCTTGCCCCCTCCACCCCCTTTAAAAACACACAGCACACCCACCTTCTCTCCGCCCTGTCCCCTGGGCTTCTCCTGCCCTCTGACCTCAGCTATTGAAGTCTGGGGCGGGTTGATCTTTCTCCCCCGTTTGCGCTCCTGCCTGTCACAACCTTTATCCCACCATCTCTCCGACAGGCTGGGTGGAGAAGGAGACCTACTACTGAGCTCACTGGAAAAAGGAAGAATGGGAAAGATGGGGTGCTCTGGAGGTGTTGCTGGGGTGCTGGAGGGAAGGGCTGGGGGAAACTGGGGTGGTCGTTTAGGGGGAGGTTTGGGGGAGACAGAAGGAGGCGACTGAGTGAACTGAGTTGGCAGGCGTGGGCGAATAAACTTGAGGTGACTGCTCCACAGGTCCAACTGTGAACCCTCAGACAGTGTATTTTGGGGGTCCCCTCCTCAGATCCCTCTCGTCCCACTCTGCCATGTTCTCTACTTTTCCCGAAGCACTGAGTGTTGCCCCCCCCACATCCAGCCCATCTCTCACCTGTATTATTCAAACAGATCAACACCCAAAGGTTAACCCTGTCTAATCCAGAAGGAAATCCTCTCCAACCGACCACCATGTGTCTCTGTCTCTGGTTTCATTCCTCTTCCCACTCTCGGCTTTCGGCTTCCTTAGCTTCCTACTTGAGTGTCCCATCCGT